ACTTCCAGAAACTTCTGTTTCTGCCCTTCAGTTTTAAAAATGACTTGTCAGTGCATTATGTATTGTTGCAGGTAATGTACATGTGAGGCATTTTTCTCCTGTTTTCCTCTATTTGTTGGTGTGTCCAAATACTTGGTACCTAATTTTGTCTATTAAGCCCAGATGTGGTCCCAGAGATACTGAGTTGGTTGTTTGAGATAGCAAAAATTTGGGGCCAAACTTATTTAATCTGCTCAGCTTTTAGTTCTTAAACCTTCCTAGTTCTTTTCACATAATTGCCTGAGAAATCACGTTTCTAGCCTCTTTAACACATATTTCAGTTATTCCACTTCTAAAATACCGTAGGAGTAGTAAAATCCAAGACCCGTGTTTATAATCCCACATGTTCTTTTACCTTGACCAAGATTTTAATGCAAAATGACTCATCTGCTATTGGTTTTTGCCTTCTTTTCAGTCTGTCTCCTTAAATATATATATGTTTTTTCTTTTTGTTTTTGAGACAGGGTCTCACTCTCTTGCCCAGGCTGGAACGCAGTGGCATGATCAGGGCTCACTGCAGCCTTGACTTCCCAGAATCGGGTGATCCTCCCACCTTAGCCTCCCTAGTAGCTGGGACTACAGGCTGCACCACGACTCCCAGCCAAGTGTTTATTTTTTGGGGTTGAGATGGGGTTTTGCCTGTTGCCTAGGCTGGTCTCTTAACTTCTGGGCTCAAGCAACCCACCTGTCTGTGCCTCCTCCCAAAGTTCTGGGATTACAGGCATGAGCTGCTGTGCCCAGTCTAAAATTTTTTTGGTAAAGGGAAAATACAGCAACCTGTTACAATATTCTGGAATCAAAAATTTTCTGCTAGATGAACATTTGGGGAGAATGAGTATTCTGTTCTAAATTAAAATGCCTTTTACAAAGTAAGTACTGCTAATGAGCTCGTTTCTTCATCTTTAGGATGGTTGATGCAGAGTAGTACGTATAGGGGATAAAATCAGACTTAGACACATGTGAGTTCTTGCATCTCTGTAATTTTCTCTTAACTATTTCAGTGATCCTTAATGAGTGGCATCTTGCCATGGTGAACTTTAATGTGGGACCAGAGTTCACAGACTGTGACCTTAGGCCAGTTAATCTTTCTGACACTCGCTTTACCTGTGGATGAAATGGAAGTAACACTACCTACTTGTAGGGCGGTTAGGAAGTCAAATGTGTCAACGTCTATAAAGTGTCTCAGCCGAGTGGTTGGCACACACATAGTAAGTGTTCCACAAATGTTCATTTCCCTATAATTTTACTCATCATTTTGGTGCAATATTATATTCTAAAGTCTTGTGTTTTTTGGCCTCCCCCTCTTTTTTTTTTTTTTTAAACAGTGTCTGTTTTCTAGGGTTTTTGAGGGGAGTGATAAATGTTCTGGGTGTTTAGGATTTCACTTGAAATCCTCAGCAGATAATTGCTTTTTCTCTGTAATGCTGGTTAATCATCTTATTGGAAATAAAAGAGTTTTTTCTTGTGTGTTAGGCATCAAGCCCATGATACTTCTATTTTCCTTTCGTTTGACTCCTTTGGGTATTATAATTCGAGAAAATCTATTTCTAAAATTACTATATGGAAAAAAAAGTCTTACTTTCTTCTGTCACTTTAATTTGTTAGTGTAAATGAGCAAAAGTTTATAAGGGAGTGTTAGTTAACAGTGTATAAATGTTAGATAATGATGTAAGTTTAATTTATGGAACCTAATTTTAGATCTAGTTTTTCTTGATTTCTATTGTAGCTTTTTTGTGGTTGCTTAATTTTCATGGGCGTCGTCTTAACTATCTGCTTTTTAAGTTCCCAGTGTGCACTGTATTTTATGTTTTCATATGGGCTAAATTTTTAAAATTGTGAACTATTTGAGAATTTATATAACATATAAAATGAACTAATAAAAAACAGCTTAGTATTTTCTCCCAGCTTAAGAAGTGAGGCAGTGCTTAACCAGTACTTTTTATGCTCCTTCTATCATACTTACTTTTAAAAATCTGCTACTTGTAATACTTACCTACTACTTAGTTATTTTGAAATTAGATATAATTTTTAGTTTAGTGTCATTATAAAACATTGTCACATTAGAGAACATATTGCAGCTGCCATTTAGTTGATTAGTTTCTAAGTTAATCCGAACTTGCCTATCATGCTAATGCATTCATTTCAGTCACAGTCTTAACATTTTGGATCTCTGTTGATTAGTATTTTTTAATTTTTTTAAATTATTTTTTACAAATCTTACTATATCAGTGCTTTTAATAGGTGACTTGATCCCCCCCCAGCCCCCAACCCTGCCTATGCCCCACCCCTGCCTGTGGGATACAGACACCAAGAGACTAACCTGGCTGTAGAAATTGTCTTGTCCCTGAAGATGTGCTATAGATTAATTTTGTGTAGTGATTTTCAAACAATGCTTTATAAGTTTAACTTCAAAAAACCATGTAAGCTCAGTTACTGATTGTTCGTAAACCATCACGTTGCCTTTGGCAAACTGAGCTAAAACATACTGGAAAAGATGTTGAGGGTTATGAGAGGTTCCTGTGGTCAAGATAGATGTTTGTCATTAGCATTTGATTGCTACTCTGTAGTTTGTGAATGGCTTCATTTATGGGAAAAACGATGAAAAATATACTCTATTTTCCTCAAAAAAAAAAAAAAAAAGAAATTAAAATCTGACTATGTCTAGATGTTTAAACTTCTTTAGGAAGAAAATCATATCTGTAGCTTATCTGCAAAGCACATTCGGTGTGTGGATTATCTGCTTATTGTTATAAAAACTCTGACCTCATGTAAACATTTTTGTTTTTGAAAAATGACCAGCCTGAAGGAAGGATATATGAAATAATCAGTAGAGTCTTTATTTAAAGTAATCTAAGGTCCAGATTTCTGGAGTTTATTGTTACTTAGCATATGATGGTTTGGTTGCCGTATAAGTCAGCAGCAAGTTTTGTAACTCAGAAGAGATCTTTCCGGTGGCCTTTCAGATAAGTAATGGTTAATGGATAATGCCTCAAAAAGTGCCAGAAATTCTGATTTGTGTTTCTTACATTTAGATATTTAAAATAGTAATGAAATAATCTGCTAATTGCTAACCATTTTTAATAAAGAATACTGATAACCTTAATTGAGTATGCTTCTTAAAAAGAACTTTTGTGTCAGTAATATCTATTTTTACTGAAATTGGTGAGGTGTAAGTAGCATTGCAACATTTTCTAGGTGAAGAATATGATGCTGGGAGCCTAAAGGATTTGATTATATATATAGTTCATAGCTGGAGATTGAATTCATGTTTCTTTTCCTATACTTCATGTCAGAATTTTAAAAACTGCCCATTTTAGGGGAAAGATGATTAGAAAATGATGTCCTTTGAGTAAAGATACTATTGATTCAATTATTATTTTTACAAATAGAACTGTTCTGATGCAGTACTCTAGTGTTCTTTATCCATCCATTCTATGCCCCCCTGTTGGATATCAGCTGGTGGTAGGTCTAGTGTTTAATGTAGTACCGTAACAGGCATTTGAATTGGAATGGGAGTTCTTCAGGAATAGAGTCTGGAATACAGTTAATGATTTCAGACACAGGCAATTCCTGATTTAAAAATAACTCACATAGACCCCTGTTTCTGAGATTCTTTTTCAGTGAAGTGTCTACTATTGCTGCTATTTGGAGTACAAAGTTGGAGCTTTTAAAGAACCTGGGAGTTCAAAAGTATAAGGAGAAATAAATGAAAAGCAGAAATCTTTTGAGCCCATAAATATAGACTCAAATCTATATTATTGTAACACCACTTGGAATTCTACCAATAAGAGATTTATTTGGGCAAACTAGAATGGTTGTTGGAAATTGCAAATCTTAGCGTGAATTATTTCAGTCCAGTTGGTTTCTTTCTTTGGCTTACCTGAAATGAACTATACTGAGGCAATAAGAGCGTTGTATAGTAATTTAGGAGTGTAAAATAACTTAGGGAAAAGGATTATTAAGCATTATGATTGGGATGACATCATGTGAAGTTTAGGAATTGGAGGCATTGGGAATTGAGAGGGTGCTTACAAAGGAAAACAGCCTATATTAGAATTTGTTTAGAGGTTTGAAGACGTTTTGGTATCTCTTCTGGAGCAGCCCTGGTACCCTTGACCAGGAACATATCTTGGAGTCAGTAGTTTTTATGAGGCTGGCATAGGAACATGGCTACCATATGCAACATCGTTCTATTTAGAATATTCCTTGAATTAACTTCACAGTATCAATTTAAAAGATAAATTTTTGACTCAACTTCTTTATAAGATAGGTTTTAACCTTTACGAGTCTTTACCTCGTCTGCTGTTATCAGTTGGTAACACTGAGGTTACTTTCATTTTCCTGTAAGTTGTTATGAACTTTTCAGGTCATCTATGAATTATCAGTGTAAGCAATAAGTAGGAAGTATTATAAAACAATTGCAGTTAAATAAGAGAAACCACCTGGAGAGCAAGAAGGTTTGTGGACTTAGGGGAGCAGTGTGAGAAGTGTCTCAGAACTTAATTTATAAATCACGTTGGTAGACGGACATGTTGCCTTTCCCTTAAAGTAACTTTGAATAGTAAACTACCATAAAAGTGAATTTGCATTCATCTTAATTTGGGAGCTGATGAAAATTACAAACTGTAGGGTTTTTTTCCCCCAGATAAGTTAAATAATGGAATATTCAGGTTTATTCGATTTCTAGAAAAGGCCTGAAATTTTTGGTGGTAGTAGGCACATTTTGAAACTGTTTTTCTTTTCTCTGACAATTGAATACATTTTATGTATAGTTGATTTTGATTATTGAAGACTAAGGAAAATTGTTTTTAAGTAAGTTTAAATGTTAGGAAACGAATTTTGCACATTTGAAGTAATTTTATCTATATGTCTTGGGATTGTAGTTATGTTAGATATTCCTCAATTAGGGGTAATTGTCTTGCATCATTATTTCTTATCATAATCTGTTTTTCTTCACACAGTGTTATAGTTTTGCCGCTGGACTCTTCCCTCCCTTCCCCCACCCCATCAGGATGATATGAGACTTGAAAGAAGACGATGCATACAGGTGACTCAAGTTTTGAAATACAGTAAAACTATGGCTATGAGAATGTGGGAATCAGTGGTATATTTTGAATGGGGGAGCTTTCTGATAAATAGCAGTTAGTGGGGGAATTGCAGTAATCGCAAAGTTAGTTGGGCTATCTGTTGAACTTACTTTTGAACTCAGATCGATAATCAGTGATTTATAGTGGTGTTAATACAAATACAGCATAGTAATTGCTAGTACTTAGGCTTTTCAAGAGCTGGCTAATATTTTGGTGGGAATTAGAATCTTTCTGATAATAATGTAAATAACACAGTCACCTCTATGGTTGAATGCATGTCTCCCCCAGATCCCTATTAGAGTATGGCAGATCTTTTGTGGGAGTAGATGTTAGTAGGATATCATTAAAAAGACTGACAGTTAAATTAAGAATATTATCCCCATAAGTATGGTTTCTTAAAAAGATATGCTCTGGGATTTTGTTTATTCTTTCCTAGTTACTGATATCCCTGCCTTCCATTTCCCTCCCTCCCCTTGCCCCCCTCCCCTCCATCCCCTGCTTATCCTTTTGTCTTTTGTATTTTATATAGAAGCAGCACTGTGAAGGCATTTTTGAAATAATATTTTTTGGTTGCTTTATAATTAATTGAGGTGATCTTATACATGGGAAACTGGAGGCTATTCCGTATGTGGCTATGTTCAAATTCCTGAAAATGTAGTGCAGCTAATGTATAAAGTGTTAATAACTTTTGAACTTATATGTTCTTAAATCAGGCATATTGTAAGGCATTTTGTTGAACTAAGTAACTTATATTTGAAACTGTCAGATAGTCAAATGATTATATTTATATACTAATGTTTGAAAATGTGATTGCTAACTGGAAAAGAAGTAATTATATAAATCTTGAATTGATATCTAATAGCTAATTATATCATTTGTGTAGTTTTTGTGATTGGTTTTTATTTTTGGTGATCTGGGTTTTGCCTAGGGGAAAAATAATCATTTTATGATTTTAAGATTAAAAAAAAAAAATGTTTCAGGTGTACCACTTTGTATGCAGAAATGTGCTTATATTTGTAAATTAAATTGGAGATCATATAATACTTTAGAGTCATGTGGAAGTCGCCATTTTAAGACCGGTGGTAATTGTCGTTTATGTCAAAGGTGATTGAGCAATCATCTGTGTTACTCATTTGTCATGCATGCACACAGGCTTGCACATGTATGTTTGCCTGTACATATTAGAGGCATGCCAGGTACACATTCTGGCTGAGTTGCTCGCTGATTGTTAAAAGCAATATGATGCTGAAGCTGAATGAATATCACCATCGTAGAAAAACAAATAGGCATATTTACAGAAACATTTTTAGGATTTTATGCACATTTTTTGTTGTCAGATTTTATAAGTTTGACCTTTTGGTGCAGGAACTATTTCTCAGCATTGTCAGCTCCTGGATTGCTCCTTGGGCGCTATACTGCACATTGGCTATACCAAGTAGATGCTCACTTTCGGCTGAGGTCAGTAGAGGAACAAAGTATTTTTGGGGTATCTCATAGATTTATCTATGAATTACTGATTTTGGAGATTTTTCTCTCATGAAATTTTGGAGTTGCAAAGTTGCTATTTATCCTCACAAGAAGTGGAGGGTTTCCAAATAACTCTTTTTCTTGAAAGGCTTATGGCCTCAAAGGAATGAAATAACTAATGAGTAAATACAGTTTATAGTTATCTAGTTAATTTTATAAATGCTAGAACACAAGAAAATTCTACAAATTAGATTTACGATAAAATCCAATCTCTTATTTGGCCTTGTATTTTTTAAAAATTATCAGCATTTGTAGGCTTACAAAGGAAAAAACCCAGGAAAGACGATCTAGCTCTGTAATAAATGTATTAGCCGTTGGTGTATTCCCTTTCTAACAATTTGAAAGCTAATAATTGTTTTTGAACATAAAATTAACAGCTTTCAAAATCATCATTAATTAATGTAGCAGTTTGCTCTTGTATTACTATGCACACATTTATTCAACTGATAAAATTTCAACACATTAAAACTCATGAGTAGATGTTCACTCAACGTTATTTCTAGAGAGTGCTTATGTGCATTTGAAAGCAGGTGTTGTGTTTTCTCCAGGTCTTGTTTTTATCCCCTGGCATGGTTCATGGTACTGGCTCTGTTTTGTTTGTTAGATGTGGTAACTTACTCACCTTGTCCTTGATGAGGCACAGGTTCAGGGATGCTGGAAAGGACACCGAAGTATGCATTGGTTGATTGGCCTTTCAGAAGTGAAAGCTTAAAAGTAGATTTTCAGGGTAACTGTGAGGTGATTAATATATTAATTAGCTTGATTGTGATGATAATTTCACTTTGTATATGTGTATCAAAATGTCATGTTGTACACCTTAAATATATACAATTTTTATTTTCCAGTTAAGCTGTGGTTGTTGGGGCGGGGAGAGAAAAAACTAGTTTTATTGAACACTAAGCCAAAGTCAGACTTTGATGCATTTAGTCCATGTGTCTATAGGTGTTTCTGTACTTAATAATTTGAGGATCTTTTTGTATGTTTTCAAATACAGTTAGAATATGAATGAGGTAAATTTAGGTTTTCTTTTGATTTTTTGAAGAACAAATAATTTGTTAACAAATACTTATTTGGTTGGCGTTTGCTTTGTAGGTACTATCACAGGTGCTCTGCCTACAAGGATCCCGGAGCTTATGGATAACAAATAAATGAGGCAGTGGAGGTTTTTGATAGAGTTTTAAATCTATTGAATTCAAGGCATGCAGAGAGAAAGTAGAGAGTACTGTCTGGGTAATGACATTGACAATAATGGCTTCCGCTGACTCCTATATGCTGAGCTTATCAAAATCTCTGCATCCCATTCTTCTATTCTGAGCTCCACATTCAAGTAACTGCTTCCTGGATGCCTCTCCCAGATATTCCCTCCTCCCCCCTTCAGTCCTCTTAGTGATGAGTGACACCATTGTACCCTAGCACACCATCATTTGGGGAACCTAGGAACCACTCTTTGCCCTTTTCAATCACAAGTAACCAAATTCAGTTTATTTAAGGTGTAGAGTCACTTCTGAGATTAGACTTGGGAAAAGCACTGCTTTGGAGATTACCATGTATATATATGCACATAAAGGCTTTTATATAAAGAAACTTGTGTAAACCAGTATTTCTTCAGTTTATTTGATTAAGGGACCTCCCTCCCTTTTATTTTTGATTTATACCCATTAATATCCTATGGAACATGATTTGGAAAAATGTGTTGGAAATAGAAGTTGCTATCATTCTTTGTTTTGTTAGAAATAACTTCTTTAACAATTAAAAAATGTTTAAACAATAGTGATACTAGCCACTTTAAAATGTGGAATAGTTCCAAAGCATACAGAACTATCACTTTTTGAGGAAGAATAAACATGGAAATTTATTTTTAAATGTGCTGATTTGTTCATATTGTCTTTGTCATAATTCTTATGCATTCACTATACACACAAACTCTCATGTATGTGAATTTAAGTACTGAAAACCATTTGTGGCAGAGTTTTAATTTTAGATTCTCTTAACTCATTTTAAAATGTGAATTTTGTAGGACAAAATTTTCATATTTCCAATGATCACAGAAATGCGATGTATTCATTATAGAACAATTAGATTCCAGCAGTCACAGAAATGGGGTGTATTCATTACAGAAGTGTTAGAAATCAGATCTGTGAACTACAAAAAACTCAACTTTTATTTTATTTTTTTGAGATGGGATTTCTCCATGTTGGCCAGGCTGATCTCAAACTCCTGACCTCAGGTAATCCACCTGCCTTGGCCTCCCAAGGTGGATCCAAAGACCCAACTTGTAAAATCCCATCATGTGCAGGGTACACTGGGAGAATGAAGGGGCATGTACATTGTGATATTTAGGTAACTGTTGCCAGTTTGCCTCCGCTTGGAATTGTTCTTGTTTGTGTGTCTGATCTTTCCTTTGTGTATTCATGTCTCAACCTGAGCAGTTTGATTTTTTTCTTACTGATTCAATGAAATTATTTTTCTAGTAAGTTATAAAGATAGTGGATTTGCTTTTGCTTTCGTGTTTTTACTTCTCCTTGTTTATTAGGTAATATAAAATCACTGAAAAAATTCAGAAATTTATAAATATATATAGATAAGTCTAAGAAAACATACCAGTTATATTGTCCTCTACAGTGTGGCACATTCTCTTCTAGGTTTTTTTTTTCCATGCCATTTTTAAATTAATTGAGATTATTTTGAATATTCAGGATGATGTGGTCGGGTAAGATACATTTTATACTCATATTGACTAACATGTCATAAATGTTTCCCTACATTGTCAAAAGCTCACGGTGGTAATCTGCTGTTACTTTGCACTTGAAGCAAATCCAGGTTACTCAGACTTAGAATGCTTTTGAAGATCAATTGCTTTTTAGATATTTATTTTAAAGTATAATTATTTTCTAGTTAAGTAGCTCTTATTTTTAGGCATTAACTTGTTGGTGTTTTTGTTTTTGTGTTTTGAGATGGGGAGTCTCGCCCTGTCACCCAGGCTGGAGTGCAGTGGCACAATCTCGGCTCACTACAACCTCCGCCTCCTGGGTTCAAGCGATTCACCTGTCTCAGCCTCCCGAGTACCTGGGATTACAGGCGTGCACCACCATGCCCGGATAATTTTTTATATCTTTCTTAGACATGGATTTTCATCATGTTGGCCAGGCTGGTCTCGAACCTCTGACCTCCTGATCTGCCCGTCTCAGGTACTAATATCTGTGCATAATATTTGGCTGTAAAATTATTTTCTTATAATGGATTCCTAGGAATCATAGTGTTTGAAAAATTTTCAGACCCTTGATAAAACTTTTCAGAAAGCTGTTTGGTAATATGTACCACTCTGTACATTACAAGAAATGTCTCTTAATTTATTTTTCTCAGCATTGGGTATGATATTTAGAAATGAATCTTAATTCAGCAGGCAAAAAAGAAGAATCTTTTATTTTGGAAA